TGCATATATATATATATATATTTTTCTGATAAGTCTTTATTGATGAAACACAGTGTTAAATGAGAAAAAATTTTGCTAAGTAATTTTCTACTAATTTGTAATTGTTCTGTTCTTTTAAGAACATTGAGCACTCTTTTTGTAGAATACATTTTAAATTGTTTAAATATATATATATATATATATATATATATATATATATATATATATATATATATATATATATATTATATATATATATATATATATATATATGCATATATATACAGGGCTTTGGAGCCGAGGTCTAAAAATTGGATCAGGCTCCATTAGAGTTTTTAGCTACAGCTACAGCTCTGGAGCAGCCTCGCAAAAAAAAAAAATTTTAATGTTTTACGACAGTAACTTAAGTACTATTAATATTTTGTTAATCAAAAAATCTTGAATTATCCTTAAAAATAAAATGTTATCCAAAATATCAGTGAGTGAAGAATGCAGATTGCTTGATATAAACTTAAGCACAGAAAATAACCTCTCTATGTTTTTTTGTGAGATAGGTATGCAAGTGACTAGTCTGCACGCTTCTTGTATTCTTTTTGGGTATTCTTCGATTCTCTCAAAAACTGATTTCACTTTTAAACGTCTTATTTCTTCTGTTACCCTACAATCTTAAAATTAAAAATTGTATTAAAAGCATTTTTATCATTAAAATTAATTTTGGTTGCACTTCTCCTTTTTTATTAAGCTTCTTTTATAAACTGATCTTCTTTTCCATCGGAATTAGATTCACTTAAAACTGAAAGAAGTGCTGTAGATGGCTCAGCAGTATTTCTTATTTCTTGACTTTCTGTTATATTTTTGGCATCTCTCTTATAAATTTTTTCTGCTACTTTTTTTGAGCCTTATTTTGCTTGTATTATCTGGGTTTTTCCCAGCAGTATTCTGTACCTAAGATCAACATAAACTGCAGCTAGAAATATATCATTATTGATGGTTATATATTAGTCCTTGATTCTTCTCTAGATTTCAGTTTCAACCATTCCTTTAGGAACTCTCCTGGAGTGATGTTGATTCCTTGAAGTTTAACTGTCACATCATACGGTTTTTTAAAAGATTACAAAGATGACTCAACTTATCCCATATTTCAGGGTGTAGAAAGAATATTTGATCAGCTGTAGCAAATTTTTCACACAGTGGACACAAAAGTAATAATCATATAGCAATATATGTTTTTTTATTAAACCATATGAATAGCTAAATGCAAAGTGTGATTAACACAGCGCATCAGCCTAATGTCAGTAGACAATTGTTGACACCATTCTGGGAGGACAAAGGTTAAATTTTCTTCCCTAGCTGCTGCACTTTCTTCTTCCTGTTGTAATGACATCCTGTTGTAAAAACTCCTCTTGTTCTTCATCCATGTCAAAAATTTTCATCACCTGAATATTCGTTTAAAAGTGTGATTGCTCTAATCATATTGGCTGCATTGTCTACACTTGTACATACTATTTGATTTTTGCTGGTACCAAATCTATATAGAGTCTATCTTCCGCCATTTTTTTGATAGCAGCAGGGTTGTGCTGTCCTTGTGCATCTATCAGTGCACTAGTTTTAACTTGATTTAATAATATTGCATAATAATATTGAATATTTTTTCCCAAATAGTTCTTTTAGTGTTGAGTAGCTGCATCTATTTTTACATAAACAAATTTCTGCAACAATATTTCCTCTATTTTAGCTTTTTTTTCATCAAATTCATTAATCAAATCGCTTACAGAATTGTGTCCAGTACTGAGTCTAAAAGTTTTACCTAATTGGCCTGTCACAACTGAAATCCTTCATCCGCAAATGTTTTTAACGAAACTCGGTTATTCATACTATTTTAATAATTCCTATTTTAAAAGTTTTATCACTAACTTGATTTATTGTTCTACTACTAGTGATATCAATAGAATCTAAAGTAATTTATTTAGTTTTTTTAGTATTGAAATCTTATGAATGCGATAAAAATGATTCTGAAGATTTTCTTTAGACCATAAGGCTCATTTCAGATTCAACAATTTCATATTCTAATAAATGTGATCTTTCCATATGCTGTTTCATATTGTTAACTTTTGACTATTTTTATTTGCATGCCGCATGAAATCACTTTATCATTTATTTTTTTTGTACTTGTACATGTAGACAGTTTTGTACTTTTATCAATTAAAAAATACTTATCTAGAAACCTTTCAGGATTGTTTGAGTTAGATTAAAAACTATGGAAAACAAAGTAAATGACAAATTTTAAAGATACGAGAAATAATTAAAAAAAAATATTGTAAACATAAATAATATCAGTAATCTCAAAAAAACGTTTTAAATATTTTCCTAATTTTATTTGAAACTCACATGTGTAATCACATGTAAATCTATTTTTAAAATGTTTTAACTAATCAAAAACAAATCATGTGATTAACACATAGATAAAGTACTTTTTCGTTAGGGCTCGTCCATAAAGTACTTATGCTTGGATGAGGGAAAAGGGGTCTGCAAATTGCGTTTATGAGATCGGAGGATTTTATGATATATTAATATCATAAAAATCATAAAATATTGGGTAGGTAGGGTTAAAGCGTAGGTACTTATACAAATATATATATATATATATATATATATATATATGTATAAATATATATATATATACATATATATATATATATATATATATATATATATATATATATATATATATATATATATATATATATATATATATATATATATATATATATGTATATATATAGCCAAACATACCATAGCCAAAAAATAAAAGTTATTTCTAATCAAGTACTCATACTTTTTTGTGTTCCTTTATATCACTGTAGCAAAAGTGTCAAGTATTTTTAGGATTATGTTTAGTACTGCCTCACCTGCACCTGAGTTTGTGCATCGCTATTGCTATGCAACACTATTATTTAAAATTAACAATTGTTTTCAAATATATTCCAACAAACATACTTATTGAAAAAAATAGCACAATACATTTATATATATTAAATATTCTATGCAGTGAAATAAATATTAAATATTCTATGTAAATTACACACGGGTCTGATATTTATAACTTCACAATAAGTTTCTCAAATATTCAATTTATAAGTAAAGTACTAGACATTGTTTTCAAAAATACTGAATAATACTGATCTATGTTAATTTGCTTACTTTTTAAAAGTTAAAAAATAACGATGGCTGTAACACGT